TCGGTGAGCAGTGATAAACGTGAGCGGGGGGGGTGGTTTGAATTTTGAAAAAAAAACGTATAATGGGAATAGCGTCCAAAATTAACCGCTCTGATTTCAGTAAAATAATTCATCTTGAAAACGAATTACAGCCCATTTTACAGTAGATGATGCTCAAATTCCCATTCGTAAAATACATTAGAAGTATGAATAGCGATAACGGCATTGTAGATAAATATCGAGTATTTATTGTCTCTAAAATATTAAATTTTTCCGCATTTTCGTCCCGAAAAGTAGGGGCGTGATGAAAGCCACCCACCTCAATAAGTGTTAGGGGGAGATACCCCCATCCCCCTGCTACTAGCGCCTCTGTCAGAGACCAAATTTGACTTTTCATAGCATACAAAATCTCATAATCATAATCTTGTTAAATTTATGTTTGTAATAATCTTTGTTACAATTAGCCAATAAAAATTGTTAAATGTTAAATTTAAATGTTAAATAATAAGTTAATTTAAATTAAATGTTAAATTGTTAATGTTAAAATCAATAATCTCTGTTAAATTAGCATACTCACAGGCGCCGCAGAACGATTTTGAAGTGGGGTGCTAAATTTTACGCCTCGACATTGGCAATGCAGGATTTCGAGGAATGTAAGAAACAGCGGGGTATGCGCCGCCGTCTCCCCCCAGAAAATTGAATCCCCCATTTTCCTCCGGAAAGTAGGCGGATATGTACACGCCATCCCCCACGTCAAATAAGGGGGGGGATGCATCCCCCCATCCCCCCTGCTATCTACGCCCCTGGTCTCCGCAAAATTGCACTACGCCGTAATTTATATTAACCAAATTATGTGAAATATTCGTATAAATATAAGTGTGCTATAATTACATATATACATTGGCTCTCAGGCGGGTGCCTATTTTAATTCACGTAATACACGTCCGTACCGTTAATTTGACGCTCTCGCATGTACCGCTGATAGCCATATATTCATATGATGATACCGCCGCCAGTGGTTGCCTTCAGGGAATACCTCATTATCGTCCATTTCGAGTTGCGTAATACTGCTCGAGTGCTACTAGAGCATTATGTTGTCCGCTATAATTCATACACACCTAGGGCTATAGGCTACTGCTAGTGTCACATACGCAGGCGACACGTATCGCGCACACGCACTAGTCTCGCCACACGGAACACGCTACATGCATCACATGCGCACGCACACATGCATCGCACGCACGCAGGCAGCACATATCACACACCCACATCATATACACACACACACATCAACACACACAACACACACCAACAGTCATCACACACACACACACACACACACACACACACACACACACACACACACACACACACTACACACACACACACACACACACAGAGAAGCACACACACACACACACACACACCACACACACACACACACACACACAACAATTACACACCACACAACCATACACACACACACACACACACACACCAATACACACGTCGAATTCACTGCAGCAGAATTTCACATCGTTGTAGCTCCTACTCCTCCTTCCACAAAAGCGGAAAAACTACGAATGCTCTTTGCCGACGGCGGCATGCGTACGCCTTATCATCCTAAATCTGCTACAATCCCTGCAAGCTGTGGCTATTACTACCGTGAGCTGCACTTTTGTGGTAATACAAACCATACTTAGCATATAACAAGTGGAAGAAAATGACAGTCTCACCCGTATAAGGATCATAAAGGAAAGTTTAAAAGTAAGAAAGGAGGCAAGAAGCAAAATAACATTGGAGATAATCTTAAGCACACGCAGCACGAATATTAGAATCTAGCAATGCAAGGCAGAATATATTATTGTCCACTTGGTTCCACCGGACTCCAGTAGATCGATAAGGCGTCCACAGCACATACACGGCTCAGAAAGTAACCGCCGGCATGTTCTCGGGTTTGCACTTACTACAGAATAATGCAGTAGTAAAGATGCTGAAGAGCGAGTTATCCACATTCTCACGTAAGATAGATCCGCTTATGAAAAGCGGAATTCGCAGAAGAAATATCCGGAACTCACGCTTGAGTCGTATCAGGCAGCCTAGCATAACAAACGGAGAGCATGTTACTTTGCCTCTAGTTTAATTTACATTTATGGTATATTTAAGGGAGATTTACTCTAGCTTCTAGGTAGTTTCAGCCTAATTAGATAATTACCTACATTAAAGAAGTTTCATGGTCGCAATCACCATTAAAATTTTATGTAAGGTTTTAAAAACTAACGACTACAGTATTGATTACAACGACGTTGCCGCCACTCAAACCGCACCAGCTGATAATTCGCCGAAAACCACTTTCCAGCCTAAGGGCTACAGACGAGGGGTTTCTTATTAATTCATTTAAAAAGCAGAAGCGATTGTTAATATTCTTATAACCAACTTTTTATATAGTTCATTAATAATATCGGAAATAAAATTTGCGACCTAAAAGAATATCTTCGGTAAATAGGCATGTAGCTATAAGATATAATTGCACTTTTGTGATTAGCCCTCGCATCTTAAACGTCCGCAAAATAAATTGTCAAATACGCAACTTATTCGGGGAATGGTGTCCAGCACGCCGTCGCGGTGTCATGACGCCGCTTCAAAATTTCGCTTAGCGTTGAGGTAATTTAATTATAACAATATAAATTATGGTATTGTAAATCATAGAGAACGTGTGGGTATAGACGAGTGTTCATACTAGTAAAGTACAGTTATGCAGTAAAATCTAGAGGCTACTTCCCTTAATTATAATCATGTGATTGCCTATTTTTTTACAAATAACCAATTTCCTCGTTCACTTCATGTTAGAACAGGAGTTGAATAATAAAATAAGACTATATAATAATGAAAAATAATAATAACAATAATATACTTATTATTCACTCCTGCAGGCGCGCTAGAACTTTTAAAAGGTAACACAAGCTCAAAGTTATATTGAGAAACGCAATAAAGCATATGTAACTAAGGCTAGTACAATGTTGAATTTTCACGTTTCAGTATCAGTCTATATCCGTATAAATAACTCTTTATGTTCTTGCCTTCACAGTGAAGGGAGAGCTGCGTGCATCCAGACATCACCCGAGAGTTCACTGCACTGTGCCAGTATTACTGCCATCTAACAGGAGCGGCTGCAGTTGCATAGAGAACAGAAGAAGAAACTGCATCACATCCACACTCACGACGGAGCGAGCAGCCATGCACCGGTGAGTCTCCGCCCCGTCTCGTCACATCCGCAGATCCTCGCGTCGCATTACCTGTCGTCGATTTTTCTTCGATTGCTCGCTGGCCGCGACCCAGCTCGACATTCTTTGAGAGAAAAAAAATTAAAGAATGCTGACGGTTGGTGTAGGCTGGTGTTTAGTTTGATGTAGGATGTAGTGTGTGTGTAATAATGATATGTAGATTTAGGTGGCTGTTCGTATGGGCAGTCGGTACTTTTAACTTTGGCAGTTGGTATTGCTGCATGGCGGTGATGTGCTGTCGCTGTAGTTAGAGTGAGTGTGGTTGGAGTTCGTTGAGGAGTGGTGAGTGTTGAGTGCGGATGCGTTATGTAGATGGTTTGTGGTGTGTGTAGGTGCTGTCATGTGGGTTGGGCTTTGGTAGTTGAGGGTCGGGTGGTCACTGAGTGTGTTATTATGAAGTGGTGTGGTAATGTAGTTGTGATGGGGTGTGTGTAGTTGCTGAGCGTAAGGGTGTCGTCACTGGTTAGTGTAGTTGCGAGGGGTGTGGTAGTTAGTGAGGTGGCGTGTGGGTATTGTGAGTGGGGTGAATGTAGTGTAGGTGTGTGGCACTGGTGTGGTTAGTGCAAGTGGGTGTGGTAGTTGTGAGACTGGTAAACAACACCAAACGTGTCACTGGTGTGGTAGCTTGTGAGGTAGGTGTGATTGTGTAGTTGTTATGTTATGGTGTAGTGTAGTGTGCAGGTGGGTGTGGTGGTAGTTTGAGTGGGTGTGGTTGTGGTGTAGTTGTGAAAGTGTGTGTGGATTAGTTCGATCCAGTGGGGGATGGTCACTGGGTGGTGTAGTGTGAAGTGCGGGCTGTGGCTGTGGTTAGTTGTGAGGTGAGTGATGGTGTAGTCTGTGAGAGTGAGTGATGTGCCGTGTAGTGTAGTGTGGTGCTGCTGACCTATGCGTGTGGTGTTGGTGTGCAGTGTGGAGGTGACTGACACCATGCGGCTGGTGCGTGTGGTATCGTGGCGGTGTGGTGTGATATATATTGGAGGTGTGGTGCGTGTGACCCTATGGGTGGCTGTTGATGGCAAAGTGTGGATGTGTGCATGGCTGGCTCGCGTGTGGCTCTGTGGTGTAGGTAGTTGTAGGTGTGCCAGGGTGGATTACCTATGTGTGGTGGTGTGGTTAGCGCCAGCTTTTTGCAAACAGCTCTAGTGCTAGCAATGATTGCTTCATTGTGCAGTTTGATCTGTAATTAAATGAACTGAAAATTGTTTTCATCATAGTGAAAAAAAGTTGAAAATCTCTCTCTCTCTCTGTCTGTCTCTCTCTCTCTCTCTCTCTCTCTCTCTCTCTCTCTCCTCTCTCTCTCTCATCTCTCACTCTCTCTCTCTCTCTCTCTCTCTCTCTCGCCCTCTCTCTCTCCTCTCTCTCTCTAACTCTCTCTTCTCTCTCTCTCTCTCTCTCTCTTCTCTCTCCCTCGCTCTCTCTCAACTCTCTCTCTCTACTCTCCTCTCTCTCCTCCCTCTCATCTCTCTCCTCTCTAACACCACACACATCTCCCTGTCTCTCTCTCTCTCACACACACTCTCCCCACAAAGTGTCTCTATCATATCCTTCTTTCTATCTCTCTCCTCGTCTCTTCTCTCCCTCTCACTCCACTCTCGCCAGCCTCGCTCTAAACAGCGAATGCTCTTGTCTGCGAGTGAGACGGCCTGTGCGAGGTCGACGGAGGCGCCGCGAGGCTCCAGGCAACGCATCGTTCCACAGTTGGAGGATGACCGATGGCAACACCGCGAGCCATGTCGAACCTCGTACAGCCAGAACCGCGCACAATCGCCGGTGTTCACGGCTGCGCGATCTGAACGATCACGTCCACACACACACACACACACACACACACATTTCCCTCCCAACAATTTCGAAGCAGAGTGTTTCCAACAACAATTTTTCTCCTCCCGACAACGAAACGCTTCGAACAAACAGAACATCGGCGCACGCGCGGATTTTCCCGCTCCTGCTCCCGCAACACACGCAACACAATCTTCGCGCCCCGTAGAATTTCATCCTCGCAGCGATGTCGCCAGCCAGCCCGCCCGCGCGCAGCAGCGGTGGCGGGACGGCCTCGCCCTGAGACCCCTAGGACTGTCGTCTGCCCGTAAATGCGGGTCTGTGGGTCACCGGACGAACCGCTTCCACCGCCGCTGCCGTCTCCGTCTCGCCGCAGCACACTTCCAGGTGCAATGAAAATGTCGACGCGAAATATCTCTCGTGGTGCTACGAGAGCGCGCGGACGCGACATGCCGCTCTAGTTACTGTGCGAGAACGCACCCCCGGGAAACGCGTGACTCACGATACGTGGCGGTAGTGGGGGAGGGGGAGGGGGAAGGGGAAGGGGGAAGGTGATGGCGGGATTGACAGTCAGCAGTGTATGCTGGTGGTGATCGCGCGCTGTAGCATATAGGCCACCGTTAACGGTGTGCGGAGAGAGGGGGGAGGGGGAGGGGGGAGGTGTCACTTTCTCTAGGTTTCGACATGTCATTCTTCTTCCAGTCTCTGATGAAGAACCAACCGGCATGTCTGTTGTCACGAGTGATCACAGATCAATCGGTCAATAAATCGATCATCGAGATGATGAATTAACCGAGTATAAGCAATGATTTATGAGTCGCCGACGACACCATGCAGACCAACCAGCCAAACCTCCGCAAATACGGTTCCCCGAACTCTCAATACACATACTCTGGTACACGCATTTAATCAATATAAGACCAAAGACAGCTTCCTCCAATTAATACAATTGTCTCGCTCTCTTTCTTTCTCTCTCTCTCCCTTCCCCTCTCTCTTTCTCCTCTCTCTAGGATTGACGCCCATGATCGCACACTCACTCGCGTGCAAGGCACCCCCCGTACAAACTCTAATCGACCCACACCTTTACTATACGCGCTACTTATGCTGAGAGGGTCTATGTCCCCCAGGGTACGTTCTGGCAGTACCCTGGGGGACATAGACCCTATGAGCGCTACTTATTAATGCAGGCACATCCTCACTCCGAGAAAGAAACCACGAGATCAAGAGATAATTACACACGCACAACACTAACTTTCGGTTTCGCCACGAGAAGCAAACTAGCTGATACGCACTGACACCGTAATGCACCCGCGAACCCGCGAGGCCCATGCTAAACGCATAACGTGCAACACCGGAACGCATGCACGGCGAGGGGGAAGGGGGAGAGGGCGAGAGAGAGGGAGAGAGAGAAGGAGAGAGAAAGAGAGAGAGAGAGAGACAGGGGGAGAGAGAGAGAGGGGAGGAAGAGAGAGAGATATATATTATATATAGAGAGTGAGAGAAAGACGGGGAGAGAGAGTTAGGGAGAAAAAAACGAGAACGAGAGCGAGAGAGAGAGAGAGAGAGAGGCAGAGACACACAAAGGAAAGAACGCAATATGACAAGCAAAAGTAAGATAGAACGGGGAATAACAGAGGCAGAGACACAGAAAGGAAAAAAAGCAATATGACAAGGAAAAGAAATATAAGGGAATAAAACAAACGCCCGCACGCCTTCACAAACATCGCCCCCCCCTCCCTCCTCCCCCCACCTTTGCACACACTCACCACTTTCGACGAGCGGGTCTCGCGCCCTTCGGGGCTTCCTGACTCGCTGCCCCCTGGAAGCTCCTCACCGGATCGACGTTCTTCCGCTGCTCTCGCTGTCGCTCCGCACAGCACTCGTCTGTATCTCCGTGCTGTCGGCATCGCTGTCCTCCCCGCCGCCGCCGTCGGCTGCTTGCTGTCGCGAGCGCGCAACGACCTTCATCGTCATCATCTGTCGTCGCTCGTCGTTAGCTTCTATCGTCGCTGCTGTGGTGGCCCCTTTTGACGTGATATGATGCGCCGCTGACACCTGGTTCCTTGGCCCTCCAGCTCGGCTGCCGTCCGCTCCCAGAGCGAGCAATGGGACGGGTGACCACTACCCCCCCCTAAAAACTAGTTACAGCAAGGCCACTTATAGCACCTGGTGTTATGGCATGAAGACTACACTCTATTTAGAACAGCACGGCCTGTGTGTAATTAGGACAATTGGAGTTTTTTCGTGTTCATGTCGCTGTATTTACGCGTGAACCATTCCCTTCATATACCAGACCCTGTCTATTAATTGGACGCTTGCTGCGGGTAACTCGCGCCTCAGTTCACACATAAACGACACACTGGCTCTATTTTAAGGACACTTGCGGTTTTACCTGCATGAGGCAGACGTTATCAGTGAAACGACCTCTACATAATGTTATACCTGTCTATTAATGGCGACATCTTGGGAGTTGCGCTATTAGTATGTTTCATACATGCTACAACACCTCTTCATCTTATCCATTTTAATATAATTGTATTACTAGATACCTGTCTATTAAGGACACTTGGGCCAGTTCTCCTTGAGCTAATCCTTAATTACAGGCCCGTTGACTGCTATATAACAGCCTGAACTCTGGTGACTATGCTGCTAAGCAAAATATGCTCAACCTCGGCTGGCAGTGGGGAGGGATATCATGCTGATCAAGCTCACCGTTGTCTGAAGCGGGCAGCGCGGGAAAGCATGCGATGGCGTACATTGATGAGGTCAGGAGAGGAGCATGGGCGGAAGCAGAAAATAGTCTCACTGCTTAGTGCTTACTGAGGGCGAACAGGATAGCCTACCATAGCTTGCAAAGCCAGGAGAGCAGCCGCCCAGTCTCACGCGATGCTATAGGGTGAGAGCGAAAGCAGGATAGCCTGACAAGTTGCTGTAGGGAGAGCTGGGTAATGATAGGACAGCCTCACTGTCTGCCGAGGAGGAGCAGGATAGCCCTAACCTTAGCTAGAGTGCGGAGGAACGCAGCCGTCACCGTTATGCCAAGGCTGCGGCGCAGGCTACTAGCCCCCAACTAGTTTCTGAGTGGTCTAGCTGGAACGCTAGCTCACATTGCCAAATGGGGCCCAAGGATAGTCCCAACCTAGTGAGGTGGATGCGGCGGAACGCAGCCTCACATTGCCAAGGAGGGCCATTGGATAGCCACTAGCCTGCATAGTGTGAGTGGGAACGCAGTCACCGTTTGCTGAGGCGGAGCAGGACTAGCCAACCTAGCTGCAGTGGCTCGAGGGGAACGCCGCAGCTCACGTTTGCGTATGGGGGCCACGGCGTGTCTCGCTGGGCCGGGGCACGTCGACTGCTGATTCGTCGTATCGCCGCAGCTGTGAACACCTGCGGACTTTGTGCAGCGGCTCTGTCAGCTGGTAGAGGGTTCGACATCGCTCCGGATGTTGCCATCGTCCATCTCCAACTGTGCAACGATCGTTGCCGCCACTCGCCGCGCCCTCTCGTCGACCGCCGCGTCTCACTGCAGACACAAGAGCATCCTGTTACGAAGCGCTGCCGGTTCGCTGAGATGTGAGTGAGCAGCGACGGAGAGTAGACAGAGATAGAGAGAGAGAAGAGAATATATAGAGACAGCTCGGAGAGCTGTGATGCTTGCAGAGAGTAGCAGAGGACAGGAGACGCTGCTGTGTGAGAGGAGAGCAGAGGAGCAGAGCATGAGAGGAGAGAAGCACAGAGAGAGAGAGCACGATGAGAGAGAGATGAGAGCATGAGATGCAGAGCAGGAGAGAGAGATGATGTCAGCATGAGAGAGATGAGCAGAGAGAGAGATGAGACGAGAGGAAGAGAGACGAGATTGAGAGCAGAGAGAGTCAGAGAGAGATGAGAAGCTAGAGAGAGAGAGAGCAGAGCGAGTAGAGAGAGCTAGAGAGATGAGAGAGAAGAGAGAGAGATGGATGAGTAGACAGCTAGAGACGAGCAGTAGAGATTTTCAACTTTTTTTCAACTTATGATGAAAACAATTTCAGTTCATTTAATTAAAAACAGATAAAAATGCACACAATGAAGCAATCATTGCTAGCACTAGAAGCTGTTTGCAAAACAGCTGGGCACAACACACACCACATCTACATAGCAGTCACAACCACCTGCGCACACCCCTTCACAAACTACATAACACACTAGAGCCACACCACACAGCCATGCACACATCCCACACTGCCCATACCACACAGCCACACCATAGGTCACACCACCCACACCTCACAATATATACCACACCACACTCCCCAACCACACCACACAGCACGCTCACATCCACCATCCACAACCACACCACCACCACCATTAGGTCACACTCACCCACACCTTCACAACTCACCACAATCACACCTCATCCTCACAACTATCACCACATCATCACCTCACCTCACAACTTACACCACACCACACCCCACCTTCACAACTACTCAGACCACACCAGTGACACACCCACCTCACAACTAACACACCAAACACCTCACATATCACGACCACACCACTCCCCACCATCACAACTACACCACACCACACCCACCTCACAACACACCACACGCAACTCCTCACACTACACCCACATCACCACCTCACCTCACACTACACCACACCACACCACCACCATCAACTATACTACGACCAACCCACCTTGCAACTACAGCCACACCAGTGACACACCCCACCTCACAACTACACCACACCCCACCTCACAACTACACCACACCCCACCTCACAACTACACCACACCCCACCTCGCAACTACACCACACCAGTGACCACACCCCACCTCACAACTACCAACCACACCCCACCTGGCACGCAGATTACACCACACCACTCACAACTACACCACACATCCGGGCCACTCACTCTACACCACATATCACACCGCCACCTCACACACAACCACACCCCACCTCTCACACTAATCCACCACCACCTCACAACTACACCACACCCCACCTCACAACTACACCACTCCTCACAACTACACCACACCACACCCCACCTCACAACTACACCACAGCCACACCACACAGCCATGCACACATCCCACACTGCACAACCCCACTGCCCATACCACACAGCCACACTAAATCCTACATATCATTATCTACACCACACACTACATCCTACACATCACAACTACACACCCACACCACACCCCAGCATCTCTTACAATTTTCTCTCAAGATGTCGAGCTGGAGTAACCGCCCACCGAGCAATCAAGAAAAATCGACGACGGGTAATCGCCACGCGAGGATACTCGGATGTGACGAGATGGCGGCGGAGACTCACCGAGTGCATGGCTGCTCCTCCGTCGTGAGTGTGGATGTGATCGGCAGTTTCTTCTTCCTTGTCCTACTGCACTGCAGCCGGCTCCTGTTCAGATCCAGTATACTCGCACAGATGCCAGGAACTCTCGTGATGTCCCGGATGCACGCAAAGCTCCCCTTCAACTGTGCAAGGCAAGAACATAAAGAGTTATTTATACGGATATACTGATACTGAAAACGTGAAAAATTCAACATTTAATAGCCTTAGTCTACCTATGATTTATTGCGTTTAACTCAATAAACTTGAGCTTGTGTTACCTTTTAAAAGTTCTACCCCTGCAGGAGTGAATAATAATATATTATTATTCATTATTATTCTTTCATTATTATATAGTCTATTATTATTCACTCCTGTCTGATAACATGACGGTGACACAGGAAATTGTTATTTGTAAAAAAAAAGGCAAAATCACATGATTATAATTAAAGGGACAGTAGCCTCGTAGGATTTTACTGCATACAAAGCTGTACGTTACTGTATAACAAATCGTCTATACCCACACGTATTTGTTACCAGATACCTAATTTAATTGTTATAATTAATTACACATCAACGTCCTACGAAATTTGAACGGCGTCATGACACCGCGACCGTGCTGCCACCTCCCGAAAAAAGTTGCGTATTTTGACAATTTATTTTGCACGTTACAGATCGAGGGCTATCACAAAAAGTGCAATTATATTTATACATAAATGCTATTTACCGAACGATATCATTTTTAGGGCAAATTTATCCATATTATAACTTGAAACTATATAAAGCTTTTATAAGATATTACAATCCTTTTGCTTTTAAATGAATTAATAAGAAACACCCTCGCGTCTGTAGCCCTTGCTGGAAAGTGGTTTTGCGGCAACTTATCAGATCGTGCGGTTGAGCTGCTGCCACCGTCGTTGTAATCAAACTGTAGTCGTTAGTTTTAAAACATTAAAAAAAAATATTTCTAATGGTGATTGAACCATGAAACTTTTTATGTAGCGTAATTATAACACCTAAATTAGCTCAAAATAACCCTAGAACCTAGAGTAAACTCTCCTTTAAATATAACATAATGTAACATTAAACAGAGCAAAGTAACATGCTCTCCGTTTTACTGCTGGACTCCCTGATACGACGTCAGCGTGAGTCCGCGATATTTCTCTGCGAATTCCGCTTTTCATAACCGACTATCTTACGTGGAATGTGATACTGCTTTCAGCATTTTAAAATCATATTCTGTAGTAATGCACCGCAATGCCGGAGGTTACTTTGCCGTGTATCGTGCTGTGGACCCATTATCGATCTACTGGACTCCCGTGAACACAAGTGACATATTCTCTCCTTGCATGCTAAATCTAATATTCCTCTCGTGTGCTTAAGATCTCTCCAACTGTCTATTTTCTTCTTCCCCTTTCTTCTCCAACCCCTTTCCTTTATGATCCCTTATCACGCTGTCATTTTCTTCCAACTTGTCTATGCTAAGTATGCTTTGTATTCACAAAAGTGCACTCACGGGTAGTAATGCACACAGCTTGCAGGGTTACAGATTTAGGACATACGTACGCACGCACGCACGTACGCAAAGAAGCATTCCAGTTTTACAGCTATTGCTGACAGGAGTAGAGCTACAACCGTGTTAAATTCTGCTCAGTGAATTCGAGTGTGTATTGGTGTGTGTGTGTGTGTGTGTGTGTGTGTGTGTGTATTGAGTGTGGTGTGTGTGTGTGTGTGTGTGTGTGTGTGTTGTGTGTGTGTGCTCCTGTGTGTGTGTGTGTGTCGTGTCGTGTGTGTGTGTGTTTGTGTGTGTGTGTGTGTGTGTGTGTGTGTGTGTGTGTGTGTGTGACTGTGTGTGGTGTGTGTGTGTGTTGATGTGTGTGTGGTGATATATTGATGTGGTGTGTGTATAGTGCCTGCCCTGCGTGCGTCGTGCATGTGTGCGTGGCGCATGTGTGCATGTACGTGTTACGTGTGCGACACGTGCGTGTGCGCATACGTGTCCTGCGTATGTGACACTAAGCACGTAGCCTAGCCTAGGGTGTGTAATAAATATAGGCGCAACTAATGGCTCTAGTAACATCGAGCAGTCATACGCAACTCGAATATGGACGATAATGAGGTATCCCTGAAGGCAACACTGCGGCGGTATCATCATAATGAAAATATATGGCTATCAGCGCATGCGAAGCGTCAAATTAACGGTACGGACGCTGTAATTCGTGCAATTAAATAGCACCCGCCTGAGAGCAAAATGTATATATATATATATAGGCACACTTCATAATTACCGAATATTTCACATAATTTCGGTATAATAATAAATTACGCGCGTAGTGCAATTTGCGGAGGACCAGGGGCGTAGATAGCAGGGGGATGGGGGGATGCATCCCCCCCCACTTATTGACGTGGGGGATGGCCGTGTACAATCATCCCGCCTACTTTCCGGAGGAAAATGGGGGATCTCAACATTTTCTGGGGGAGACCGCGCATACCCCCGCATGTTTCTTACCACCTCCTCGAAATCCTGCATTGGCCACTGTCGAGCGTAACAATTTAGCACCCCACTTCAAAAATCGTCTGCGGCGCCTGTAGAAGTACTGCTAATTACACAGATTATTGATTTAACAATTAACAATTTAACATTTAAATTTAAACTTAACTTTAATTTAACATTTAAATTTAACATTTAACAATTTTTATTGCTAATTTAACAAGATTATTACAAACAATAAATTAACAAAAGATTATGATTATGAATATTTGTATGCATATCAAAAGTCAAATTTGAGTTCATCTGACAGAGGGCTAGATAGCAGGGGGATGGGGGTATATCCCCTACCTTATTGAGGTGGGGTGGCTTTCATCACCCCCTACTTTCAGGAAGAAAATGAGGAAAATTTAATATTTTTACAGACAATAAATACTGGATATTTATCTACAAATGCGTTATCGCTATTCATACTCTCCTAATGTAATATTACAGAACTGGAATTTGACATACATCTACTGTAAATGGCTGTAATTCGTTTCCAAGAATGACATTATTTTACTTGAAACTCAGACGGTTATATTTTGGACGCATTCCCCATATACGATTTTTTTTCAAATTCCAAATCACGTCTTATCACTGCTCACGAAAGTTTAAATCCTTGCTTTATTCAAAATTAGAATAGACCTATTGAGAAGTTGGGATATTGCATTTTTAGGGGGTTGAATGGGAAATTCATTTCATCTCACTTTTTGAGAGGGGGGATGGGGGTGCTGAGACCTGACCGAAGTATATTCGCGGATTTTGTATAAGGGGGAAAATATGCACTATTTGGTTTAAATCTGGTTTTCTCATATTCTTTGCAGTTTTAAGGTTCTCACTTCTCAGTAAATATATAGCGTTTTATCAAAAATTTCAGGGGGAGATGATTCCAGTGCTGTAGTTGTCAACGCGGGGTCGGTAGCACAGGGGGCGTCACCCCCTCCCTAGAAATTTCAGGGTAAGCGTATTTTAGCTCTAGGTAAGCCTGCACTGGCAACCCCAGTGAGGAATGTACATGTATAGCACAGATTGGTAGTAAGCATTTTAGTCTTTTGGTGCTCCCAAAGGTAAAAATACTCAACTCAACAGTGATGTTATTGTGATGAAGATTGTTTAATAGCTGCTGCCTCATAGTGCAGGAAATTGCATCGCAAGAGATGTTACTTTCAACAAAATTTCCGGGGAGGTCCCCTGGACCTCGCCCTAAACAGAAGGGGGACACCCCCTGAAGGAGGAAAAATCCTGATATTTTATGAATAAGATGTCCAAATATGATTGCTTTAGATTGCAACTTTTTAACAATTCCACACAGTGCGCGCTTCAGGCCTTGAGCTCGCATAATTCCGCCCCCCCCTAGAATTTACTTTCTGGATCCGCACTGGTTGTGTGTGTGTGTGGGCGGTGCGTGTTATTAAAACCTCTGGGATCCAAAGAAAAAAATTAACCTCGAATTCACAAAATTGCACTTTACAATATCAATTTTTTTCAAATTACCTCAAAAACGACCATCTTGAAGGTTCTAAATTGCTAAAATCTAAGAGCTTCAGGGGCTCCGCCGCCTGGACCCCGGGCAAGGGCTCTGCCCCTGACACCCACCAGGCCCTACGGCGGGCCCCCTGGCTCCCCACCCATTAAGGCTTGCGCCAAGGCTCTCGCGGTGTGCGCTACTCGCACACAGTCTTCATATACATTATAATGGGAGGTAACAGCGAAATCATCCCCCCACAAACTGAGGACCTGTCTACGCCACTGGCGGAGACAAGACACGCGCACGCACCAGACACACGCTCGCACGCATGCACTTCATCGTCTATATATCACGCCTAGACCTAATATACATTTTTCCAATCAACGTGATACAGTGAGAGCGCTATTGTTCGCGAAGAAAATCAGTGTGCTATGAACCTCTAAGCGATGAGCTTTGTGTTGTCACCGCGGCTCCTCAGATAATTATAAGAGAAGAAGAATTGCCAGAGCAGTGAAACAAAAGGCCCTGCCATGCCCGCGGGGGCCAAATGGCTTGCAGAGATATGCAAGACAATGCCTGCGCAATTTCGGGGGTGCCAATCGTCCTTTGTTAGCCCAACGCTGGGCAATTAGCTAAACGCAATGGAACATGATCACCGTGAGTATGTTGGTGACATCATCAGATGACGAAGAGTTGTAGTCGCCCCCCTTGCGAACACGGGGTATTACAGTAAAGCTGATCAGAATCAAAGCAGCTTTCAAGCTGGTGACAAAAACCAATCGCACGACGTCAATTAACGCTTGAAAAATACGACGAAAAAACGGGAACCGTATAACGTGTAGCGTCGCCGATTCCGACGAACTTGAACACGCACGCACGGCACACATCACACACGGCATACACACACACACACACACACACAGCACACACACACACACACACACACACACCACACCACACACACACACACACACACACACACACACAAACACACACACACAACTCCCACACACACGCACGCACGCACATACGCACAAACACGCACGCACGCACGCACACGCACGCACGCACACACACACGCACACACACACACACTCACACACACACGCGCAAACACACACACTCGCGGCCATACATACACGCTCTCC